TTTGTAAAAATCGACGTGTTTCAGAAAGGCGGGGCATAGAGGAGAAACAATAATGTACAGTATGTGGAAAATAATGTGTTTTTTTAACCTTAAACCCCATTAACACATTTCATTACACCAAATACACAAAATAATGTTATTTTTAGCAACATCATATGACCCCTTTAAACATGGTTCAGCTCAACAGTAATAGCAAATATCTCTGGGCAAGATGCATTTGGCCTCAGGAACAAGAGAACAAGTGTATGGCTCCTGAGCAGGGACTTCATCTCATTTCAACATCAAATAGAAGGAGTTTTTACAAACTGGATTTTACAATATCAATTTAGGGCTGTGCGATTTAATCAAATTTGATTTTAGATTTCAATTTTGGCTTCGTTCCAACAACTATTAAACCAGGATAAAAACTATTATTGTGCCACGTTCCATTTTGCAATGATGCTCTGGCTTTGTCTCCAAAGCTCATTTCTTTCCTTTACAAGATAGGATAGCAAAGTATACACTATACCAGTCAAAAGTTTTTGAACAGTAATTTTTAGTTTTTTAAAGAAGTCTCTTCTGCTCACCAAGCTTGCATTTATTTGATGCAAAATACATCAAAAGCAGTAATATTGTGAAATATTTTTTACTATTTAAAATTTGGACAACTTTAAAGGCGATTTTCTCGATATTTTGATTTTTTTTGCACCCTCAGATTCCAGATTTTCAAATAGTTGTATCTCGGCCAAATATTGTCCTATCCTAACAAACCATACATCAATGGAAAGCTTATTCAGCTTTCAGATAATTTATAATCTCAATTTTGAAAAATTGACACTTAAGACTGGTTTTGTGGTCCAGGGTCACATATATTCTTTTTAAAAGGTATGTTTTAGGGCCTTCCTGACTGTCCTCCAAAACGTGTTTTTTTTCTTCTTCTTCTTTTTATTCCCTCTCTGAAATTTTTATTTTTTCTTTGAGGCAACACATGACAAAAAAAACTGCATAACCTCATTCTAATTGTGCTATTTACCTATAAATCAACATAATGTAAGAGACATTCATGTTATAAGCGTTAGATTTTTGCCTGTTTACTTATCTTATTTGTAATGTTTTTTATTTATCAGAAGTCTCGCAGAAAATAGTTGACTTCCACTTCTAAAAAAAATTAGGTGATTAGTGGTACCTGGTTGGGAAATTGCTGACTGTTAGCTAACAAGAATCTGATTCTGATTCTGATTCTAACAAGCGTCCCCCCCCCCGTCATATGTTGCCTCAGACTTTTATTTATAAAAATATGTATTATATATTTTATTTATATTTTTTTGGACCCACTTTATTTTAAGTGTTTTTAATTACTGTAACTGCATTTAAATCAATTATTTGATACAACACACTTACTTATTTACATGTTTTTACATTATACTGATATTTAAAAATACCTGCAACTACATCTGTATTTAATTTCTGTAGTTGCATCTATAATTACACTGTTGACCCTACACCTTAAACCTACCCATACCACCGAATCTGTCCCTAACCTTACCCCGTACCCACCTCAATAGCAGCAGAAGTGATTTGCATTACAACATGAACACAATAAGTACATTGTACCAAACAATTCATTATTATTGATGTAAGTGCATAGTAGTTAAAGACACCTAATGTAAAGTTGGACCCATTTTTTCCCCCAAAGGAATTGCTCTGAAAGGCACTAAAACTAAAAATTCATTTTGTAGAAAATAAAAATACCATATGGCTTTTGTGTCCTTGGTAAATGTTCAGAGGGTTTAAATGCTGATTACTTCCAGTTACACTGGTTGCACCAATTATAGGCAAAAACCATCACTAACATAAGTTTGATTCCTAAAAGCTCATTTTCTCACATCCCCTAACCAAAGTAAGAGCTGAGAACTGTAAAGCTCATTTGAACCTCAAATACCAGCACTGTTTTGGTTACGTCTCACTATCCCCTTTTTGTTTTAACAGAAATTCAGCTCAGCCAGTAAATACGCGGCCTTGCTGATGGACGGGGAGCAGGGAGATGAAGAGGAGAGCGGAGATTAGGAGGTGGACGGACTGCACGGACGACAGTCTAAATTGAATTACAAATTAAACCTACAGCTTTTGTTTCATGCAGCACTGAAGGACCCTGATGAGCCCTTTGAGAGCAAAAACCCATTTTTAGAGCAACCCCTTCCTCTTCAAGACTGAACCGAAAACCTAGTGGGAAAACACAGGACTCGTTTTAAAGTAAAAAAGAGTATGGAAGGATGAATGCTTATGACTAATAAATTTTTTGGGAGTGGGTTACAATACACATAAAAGAGATCCTGCTCTAGCATGCATCATATGTTGAGTGCATTTCTCATTAGCTTGCACGATGAGTGGCGGGAAAGTGTAGAATCAGGGGAAAAGTGCCACAAGATGAATGTTTTCCCTGAACTTTAGAGCTTCCTGAGCTTTCTGAAAGAACGTTTACGACAGTTGCTTTACCGAGATCTCTGGTCAAGTAAAGGGGTCCGTGACCTGCATTGTTCACCCATTGATTATAAATCTCACAACCTTGGTTTTATGTCTTAAACTGGCATTGGCCAACAGGTCTGATGATTTGTATTCGGGGATAAAAGCCGCTGAATAACGGCCAGCAACGGATCAGAACCTGTTAGTTTCGGTTTGATATTTCTCTGCGCTGCTTTAAGCAGGAGTCTCCCATTTTCTCACTTATCCTTTTGAGGACTTTTTTAAGCCACTCCTTTGGACTGATGTGCAATAGGAATTGACGTATTACTCTGAATCTCAATATTTCTACAAAAGAGACTGCTGCAGCTTTGGGTTGAGCCTATATCTTAAAGGTAGTGACATGAATTGCTTAATGATTTAAACTGTGTACCATCTAAAAAAACAATAAAAGACTACACTGAGACAGTTATGCTTTGGAGGACATTGTGAATTAAATTGCATCTCAGACTATTTTTATAACTGTATTTATATATATATATATATATATATATATATTTATTTATTTTATCTCTGCGCGCTGAAAAGACCGAACACGCAAGAGACCTTCATCCGCCACTGGATACCTTCCTTGGGCCATGTGTGCGGACCTTACAAGTACATGTACAGTAAATGAATGTACTTTCCAGAAGGCCAACAATTCATTAAAAATGTTTTTTTTTATTGGTCTTATGGAGTATTCTAATTTGTTGAGATAGTGAGTTGGTGGGTTTTTGTTAAATGTGAGCCAAAATCATCACAATTAAAAGAACCAAAGACTTAAACTACTTCAGTCTGTGTGCATTGAATTTATTTAATACATGAGTTTCACAATTTGAGTTGAATTACTGAAATAAATGAACTTTTCCACGACATTCTAATTTATTGAGATGCACCTGTATTTGATCAAAAATGCAGTAAAAACAGTAATTTTGTGAAATATTTTTACAATTTAAAGTAACTGTTTTCTATTTGAATGTATTTTAAAATGCAATTTATTCCTGTGATGGTAAAGCTGAATTTTCAGCATCATTACCATATGACACCTTCAGTGTCATATGATCCTTTAGACATCATTATAATATGCTGATTTGCTGCTCAGAAAATGTTTATTATTAGTAGTATCACTAGGGTCCAAAAATTTAGCTGTGGGTTAAATATTTGTGACAAATATTGGTGGCATTATTTAATGTTAAATACTTTATTTGAAGAATATTCCTTGTGTATCACCCAGATTCAAAGTTAAGTGTATTTCTACTCATTTCGCACTTAGGGAGTATTCATTTTGGACCCTAATGCGAGCTCTCCCCCGAAGCTCTATGTCTGGACCGTTGGTATACTTTGAGGTCAAAGGTCAGCACTCAATCAGTCTGACTTTGGCCTGCCACTATGTTCAAAGGATCCAGAGCCTTGATACTGCAAGGCATGACATCTGCAACAAAACCAGCTCTTAGTGTTTGTGTGTATATCCTGGATACAAGCTTGTTTCTGACAATTCTCATTTCCCATGAAAATTCCAGTGGAACGGGGTTTCATTAATCCTAGCATTATGAGGATGTTATTAAAGAGGGAAAAGGATGTAAAAATGAACAGTTCACCCTGAAGCATAACTGAGTACTTCATTCAAAATAGGTTGGGAGGTTGGTGCATTTTTACACTGGCTAATTACTTAAAGTTAAATTACTAACTGAAGGGAGTTAAAACAGGAAGCAAGTTATGCTGAAAGAATGTTTTTGGACAGATTGCTTCTCAGAACCATTCAACGTCACGCATCAAACTATGATAAATACTACTCCGCTCATGCTGTGCGTCCCTTTAACAGTCCCTTTATCCTGTGACCTTCTGCTGGACGGAGGCCAAAGAATGTGCCCTTCACCCCGGCCTTTTAGGCCTCATTAACTGAGCCCAGGCCCCAAAGGGTCGTCTCTGTTCCTAGTACAGCAACCCTGACAGGAAGCAGACAGGGCCGTGGGATGTGGATGGGAGAACAGGAACCCGATGTTCTCAGAACATCTGCGCATGTGGTGTATCTCTGACATTTTCTCAGCATTTTTGGGTTTCTGCCTTTCATATCATTCTATTCTGATCTGTGAAGTTTCTCCTGTGGTGAACGAACATCCGCCTGGTTCTCTTTCAGTAGATGTGTTTATTCGGCCGGATTGAAGTCGACATGAAATTACAATTAAACCTAATACATGTTCCTGGTCTTATTGCGATGGTTCTTCTGTGTACATTATTCCAGAGATAAAAACTTTTTAAATACTTTTTTAATATTTAACGACTCATACTTCTGATTCTGGACATGTGCAGATACTGCCACAGGATGTTTGTAGTAGCATTTCAACATCTGCCACACTACACGCTTCTTGTAAACCACTATTAATAGCTAAATGCTGCACATTCTCCTTTTGTACCCTTGGGTCGGAGCACAACGCATCTTTTGTATTCTGCTTTAGTGACACAGGGTATTGACGACTATTTTTCCACTTTCCTTCCTGGCACTCAGGTCTGTTTTCCAGCCATTTTAAATTCAGTCAAGTTCCTTCAAACCACAAGACCTTATCTATAACTGCTAAAAGAAGATTGCTCTTTCAGTCTATTTGTAGCCTAGCATTCATTTATTCACTGATCTTACACTAGTGTACTGGAAGTACTAGAGGGAGAATTATTGCAATTTGTATTTTTGTTATAGTGACCAGAACTGCAAAGTTTTAGTCTGATTGCTCTTCTCCTATGAAAAACCCCAGGTTAATCAGGTGAAGTTGGTCACCATACATATGGAAACTATTTTTGTGGCCCCAAATTGGCAACAGCACATAGCCTAGTACAGAAACCAAGTAGTCGCAAACACATTTGTAGCCAAGATATATCTTTAAAATATATTGTCCTTGGCAGAGCTACTTCAAACCGAAGGTAAACAAACAATTGGTGAAGTAACATAAAATACGATTTACTTCTGTTGCATTTGAGACCGTGTTATTGTTGTGTGGTCAAATGCCTGACGAGTTTTGCTTTATTTGGCATTGGTGTGTGGTGCAACATTTCTTAGAACATGGCAAGATTTCCCAGTCTCCCCTGTTTATGAAAAAGTGACTAAATTATGGTCCTCGAGATCTCGCACCCACCCTGGTTTGGGCACAATTGGTTTCATTCTCAGTCAGTATGCTCAAGAGTGTCAAGGTCTAAAAATAAAGAACCAGCCCAAGCCCTGGAAGATTGCAGGACAGTAAGTGAAAACTGACCACTTGTTTAGGAGGAGGCTGTGAAATACGCTGTGGTAAACTTGGAAATTTTCTTGTAAACTCCGAGGGTGTTGAGGTCATGGCTTTGTATAAACAATAGGTGGCCTTTTCAGTCTTTCACACACCCTCTGTAGGTGGGATGTGTCGTGAGATCATCCACATCTAATGTGGATCAGTTCAAGCATTGCAGCACATGCTGAGGGTTCAATGACAGCTTTAAAAGTTAAAAAACCATTGCAAGCACCTTAGGGTTTTACTTCCTCTAAAGAGTTTTAAGATTATAATTGAGGACCACTGTCCCGTTTAGCTGCCATTCAAATTAAACATACTTGAACCAGCTAATCAAGGTCTTCAAAATTGCTAGAAACTTCCAAGCAAATGTATTGTTGCTGGTTGAAGTTAAAGGATTAGTTCAGTTCCAGAATAAAAATTTCCTGATAATTTACTCACCCCCATGTCATCCAAGATGTTCATGTGTTTCTTCCTTCAGTCGAAAAGACATTAAGGTTTTTGAGGAAAACAGTCCAGGATTTTTGTCCATATAGTGGACCAACGGGTTGAAGGACCAAACTACAGTTTCAATGTAGCTTCAAAGGGCTCTATACGATCCCAGCCGAGGGATAAGTGTCTTATCTAGCGAAATGATCAGTCATTTTCTAAAAAATAAAAATGTATATACGTTTTAACCACGAATGCTCGTCTTGCACTAGCTCGACCTCGCATTACGTAGCCACGTTGGAAAGGTCACGTGTGGCGTAGGCGGAAGTACCGACCAAGTGTTTACAAAGCGAACTTGCAAAAAAAGTCTCACGCCCTTTACAAAAAAGGTCAAATAACGATGTCAGATGATTTTGAAGTTGGAGGAGAAAATGAGATGTAATTTTTTGCCCTACCCTACCTTTTTGAACCGAAGTACACAGACAAAGAACTAACCGTGCGTAACTTTTCTAACATGATTACGCAATGCGTAAAGATGTGCATCACATAGCTAGTGCAAGACGAACATTTGTGGTTAAAAAGTGTATACATTTGTATTTTTTCAGAAAATGACCAATCATTTCTATACATAAGAACATTATTCCTCGGCTGGTATCATGTAGAGCACTTTGAAGCTGCATTGAAACTGCAATTTGGACCTTCAACTGTTGGCTCCCATTGGAGTCCACTATATGGAGAAAAATCCTGGAATGTTTTCCTTAAAAACCTTAACCTTCTTTTCTACTAAAGAAAGAAAGACATGAACATCTTGGATGATATGGGGGTGACTCAATTATCAGGAAATTTGTATTCTGGAAGTGAACTAATCCTTTAAACTGCAGGACAGTGGCCCTCCAGGAGCAGGTTTGGACACCTTTGGCTTAGTGCAGGGGTGTCCAAACTCAGTCCTGGAGGGCCACTGTGCAGAGTTTAGCTCCAACTTGCCTCAACACACCTGCCTGGAAGTTTCTATTATGCCTTGTAAGACCTTAATTAGCTGGTTCAGGTGTGTTTAATTGGGGTTGGAGCTGAACTCTGCAGTACAGTAGCCCTCCAGGACTGAGTTTGGACACCCCTGGCTTAGTGAGACAACCGGTTTCTACACTTTTGAGCTGGCAAGACTGGTTATTCCAGGGTTTCTCGTCCTTCTACTGGAGAGGTTAATGTCCTGC